CCAAACCTAAAACCCTAAAGCCCCACACCCTAAACCCTAAAACCCTCAAGCCCCAAAGCCCCACACAATAACAAGTCGAAGCACCGGACCCCGAACAAAAATCCTCGCTCTCCCCGACGAGGTCTTCACTATCCGAGCCCAGAGACTGGCAGGAAGGGCCCCGAAACGCATTTCAGGTTTGGGGTTTTGGGGTTTATAGGGTTTACAGGGTTTAGGGATTTTGGGGTTTATAGGGTTTACAGGGTTTACAGGATTTGCAGGTTTGGTGTTTTGGGGTTTATAGGGTTTACAGGGTTCATAGGGCTTAAGGTTTACAGGGCTTATAGGGTTCATAGGGCTTAAGGTTTACAGGGTTTAGGGTTCATAGGGTTTAAGGTTTGTAGATTTTGGGGTTTTGGGGTTTGTAGGGTTTACAGGGTTTAGGGTTCATAGGGTTTAAGGTTTATAAAGCTTGGGGTTTATAGGGTTTATAGGGTTTTGGGGTTTATAGGTTTTGGGGTTTATAGGGTTCATAGGGCTTAAGGATTATAGGGTTTCGGGTTTATAGGGTTTAAGGTTTATAGACTTTCGGGTTCATAGGGCTTAAGGTTTATAGGGTTTCGGGTTTATTGGGTTTAAGGTTTATAGGGTTTCGGGTTCATAGGGTTTAAGGTTTATAGGGTTTGGGGTTTATAGGGTTTGGGGTTTACAGGGTGTAGGGTTCATAGGGTTTAAGGTTTATAGAGTTTGGGGTTTATAGGGTTTAGGGTTTACAGGGTTTAGGCTTTACAGGGTTTAGGGTTTAGAGGGTTTCGGGTTTACAGGGTTTGGGCTTTATAGCGCTTGGGGTTTAGGGTTTGGGGTTTGTGTAATTTGGGGTTTGGGGTTTTTCTTTAGGATGGCTTGGGGCTTAGGGTTTAGGACTCAGTAGGTTTTAGCTTTTGCTGTTCAGGATGACTGGTCGATCTGAAGGCTGAAGGAGAGAGGTCCAACAGTCGATGGTTCGCCGGGTTGCGTCATAGGTCTGCTTAGACGAACCTGTGGCCCAAGAAAACCACCAAGAGAAACCATAACAAGGAGCCCTAAAAATCAACCAGGTTTGGGGATTCTGTTCGCCTACAGGAAGGTTGTCTTGTGATCTTGACCTTTGTCTACTGCTACAGCTTCGAATCCTAAAACCCTAAACCCGGAAGCCCTAAAGCCCTAAACGCCCCCGAAAGCAATGAACCCGAAGAGCCGCCAAAACCCGAAACGCCCCCAAAACCCAAAACCCTAAAACCCTAAACCCTAAACCCTAAACCTAAACCCTAAAACCCTAAACCCTAAACCCTAAACCCGAAAAGCCCCCCAAAACCCTAAAGCCTGAACCCTGGAGTCGAAACTGGGCAGAAGCACGCAAGCCCAGAAGCTGTCCGAACTAGGGTTTACGGTTTAGGGTTGAGGGCTTCGGGGTTTAGGATTTAGGGTTGAGGGGCTTAGGGTTTAGGGGGTTTAGGGGGTTTGGGGGGTTTGGGGGGTTTAGGATTTGGGGTGCAGGGACCGCAAACCGACCAAAGCCCGGAGGACACAAGCCCGCTGCACCGAAAAAGGATGATCGCAAGGCCTTGTAACACTCTAGGCCCCGCAAAGCCCAAGCCCTACTTGGAGGTTCATGGGTAGGGAAGAGTGGGGCTAGAATTAGGGTAGCTATAGCTATAGCCCATATTAAGTGACTTATATCCCTACTTATAATTACCCATGAACCTCCAAGTAAGTTGTGCCAAACGTAGTGCAGTGCCGAAGAGAAGAGGGATGATCGAAAGGCTTTGTGAGCTTTGTTGCGAGTTGGAGTACTTTAGGTTTGAAGGACCCCTAAACCCTAAACCTGTGGGTCTGTCAGAGCTTTGTGTTCCGGGATCCATCTCGAGGGTCGTGGGCTTTAAAGTATTTTTTGTCTTTTGAGGCCTCGATCCTCATCATGAATTTCCTTATGTAAGGCCTTAAGAATGTAGGATCCTTGAAGTTAAGGTAGGGCCAGGACGACATGATGAGTGTGCCACTTCTTGGTCTTTTGGATCTGGCGGCTTCCGGTGCTAATTTGCATCATTGGCGTTGGCTAGTAGAGTCTCCGACTTGTGAAGTACCCGAAACCCTAAACCCTAAACCCCTAAACCCCTAAACCCCTAAACCCTAAACCCTAAACCCCTAAACCCCTAGCCGCTGTAGCACCTGGAGCATACAGTTCGGTTCTCAAGGTTCGCAGCTGCCAGATCTTAACACAGTTTAGGGTTTAGGGTTTAGGGTTAAAGGATCTTAACACAGCCGTGTTCCATGCTTACAGACAGGTTCTGGATGCTTGTCAAGCATCTGATCATCAATAGGCACTTTTCCAATCCCTCAACCCTAAGCCGTTAAAAACCTTAAGACCGAAACCCAAAAAAACCCTAAACACTGTTTTCTGTCAGAGCGCTTCAATTCATTGGTAGGCTTCCTTAACACTGCTTGGCAGAGTTGACAGTTCGGCATAGCTCAGAGTGTCCTCAACACTGCACCTCACACCGGAAGCAGAAGCTCCCCACGCCAAGCCCCAAAACCCAACACCGAGATCCGAAACCGCGAATTCTAAACCCCTAAACCCCTAAACCCTAAACCCTAAACCCTAAACCTCTAAGCCCTAAACCTCTAAACCCTAAACCCTAAGCCCCTAAACCCTAAACCCCTAAAACTTTAAAGTTCAGAAACCCGCCAGTCGCTGAGCTCCCGGGTGAATCTCGTGGATCTGGCCGGCTCCGAGCGCAGGATGCCCCAGCTACGCCCCGCCCCGCTTTTTTCCGCGGCTGCTTACTGGCCACCACTATTAGTAGTAGTTTAGGGTTTAGGGTTTAGGGTTTAGGTGTTAGGGTTTAGGGTTTAGGGTTTAGGGTTTAGGGTTACTATTATTACTACTACTACTACTACTACTACTACTACTACTACTACTGCTACTACTACGACTACTGCTACTGCTACTGCTACTGCTAGTTCGACTACGGCTACGACGACGACGCCGGCGACGACGACGACTACGACGATTACTACGACCACGGGATCTGCTCCTACTGCTTGTATTGCCTTTTTCCACCATGGTTCTCTAGCATTTTTTCTGCGTCTGTTGTAAACTGCCATTCCGTCAACATGACCAGTGCGGGTTTTAGTGCTACTTGCTCGCATTCGCCTAGGCGTTCCAGATGCTTCCGGATTATGTAGAACCTGTCAGTGGCGTGTCTGACTCCCACCATCAATCATTCAACTCCTTCAGGAACGCTTAGAAAGCAGCGTTGAGTCTTCTAAGCCGTAAGGCTTTCAACCCGCAAGCCCAAGCCCAATGAAGCCCAATACCCATTAGAAAATCCGCTAGCAACTCTATATGACCCTGAACTTGCACCGTCTTGGCCAAACTCCCCGGCTGCCGAGGCATCGCACGGAGTGGCGCTGATGGCCTCAGGCTCCGCGAAGGACCACCGGCTTCTATCTTGCAACCTTACATCTGAACAGTTTAGGGTTTAGGGGTTTCGGGGTTTCGGGTTTAGAGGGGTTTAAGGTTAAGGGGTTTAGGGTTTAGAGGGGTTTAGGGGTTTAGGGTTTAGGGTTGTTTAGGGTATAGGGGTTTAGGGGATAGGGGCTTAGGGGTTTAGGGTTGAACTTTCAGGAAGAGTTTCCTGTTTCGGCTTTCGTCAGGCTACTGCGCCGATTTGCCCTCTTTTCGTTGTCCCGATGTGGCGGTAAGACGTCGGCAGCTTTTGGCATCCCCCCAAGTTTGGGACCCAAAATAGGCCAGGGGCTTGGGTTTAGGGTTTAGGGTTTAGGGTGGGGCTTTGAGGTTCTATAGCTTCCGCATCTATGCTTTCACGTTTGAGGCTGCAAGGCTTCAGGGTTTTCGGTTTTGGCATGGGCTTAGTGTTCAGGGTATGGAGGCGTCGCGTCACGGCAAGCATGAGTACAGTCGAAGTAGCCGTAAGAGGGGAAGAAGTAGAATCAAAAGTAAACGAAGCAGCAACCAACACGCCCTTTTTGAGAGCAGCCGGGAGTGTTTTCGGTTTTAGCTTCTGGCATTATGATCGGAACCAAGATTGAGCCTTTTTGCTTCATGGTTTAGGGTTCGGGGCGCAAGGGTTTCGGGGTTCCGGGAAGCTTGGACAAAGCCGCAGGATGCGCTATCAACCAGTCCCTGACAGCGTTAGGCACTGGAGAGCGGGGGAGTGGGAGATAGGAACTATACAGGTTAAGGTCTTGTTGGAGCAGGCTATTCTCTTGCAGGTAAGCGGAGCAAACCCTAAACCCTAGAACCTAAACCCTGGAATTTGGCACGGTTGGCTTCAGTGCGGTTTCGGCTTCCAAGAGTTCAGTCAGGAGCAAACCGTTCCGCCAGGCCCGGACAAGTGTTCATGGCGCAGAACCCAAAAAACGAAACCCCCAAACTCTAGACCCTAAATCCCGCCACCTAATACACTAAAGCCCCAAACCAAATTCAAGCTATAATTTCTAGAGAGCCCCAAGCCTGAACCCAAACACCTCCTCAAACTTCAAAGCCGTATATGCCCTAACAGCGTCAAATCCTTAAGCCCCAGAGCTCTCGAAGGTCTTAGCTTTCAGGAAAAGGGTTTGGGTTTAGGGTTTAGGGTTTAGGGTTTAGGGTTTAGAATTTTTGAATTTGGGGTTTAGGGGTTTAGGGCTTTGCTGGGCTTGGGGGTCCCAAGATTCACCGCTGGGGCTGAGGCAATACCGATTGTTGAAAGCTGCACGTTCTCCCGTTCTGCCTATTCTGGCCCAGACGACGCAGAGCCCCCTCTTGATCATGAGGCCGTGTGCACCCCTTCTCAAGGTTGCCTCCTAAGTGGGAAGCAGGCCTGACAGTTGCACTGCATTTTGGTATTTCTAATTGGATGGAAGACGGATGCTGCCAGAATGTACTGTCCCAGGACTTCCACTGATGTTCGAAGGTCTGGGTCAGGGCTCGGTGGTTTCGAAAGCGTCGTCACACCAGCGACCAGCCACCAACAGCCATGGCGGCAGTGATGCGGCGACACGAATACGCGCGGATTCCCAGCCGAGAGTCGTTGTTTTTCTGGGTTCGTGTAAGGGATTTAATTTAAGTTACCACATTAGGGATTTATAGTAAATAATATGGTTTCCTTATTATGGTAACTTAAATTAAATCCCTTAACAAGAACCCAGGTTTTTTTTCCCTTTGCTCCAGCACGCCCCAGCTGAGACCTCTCGGGCATCTCTCTTGGGAGCATCGAGGTTGGAAGAAGGTGGGGCCTAGAACTCATCCACGCTACTTAAGCCTGTTGATCTTTGGTTGGTCTAAGCCCGAGCCTGTGCAAAGCAGAATTTAGGGTTTAGGGTTAGCTCGGCTAAGAAGTCACTAGGCCAGCAGTAGACTTTCCCCTCCCACTGCATAGAATCCCAAGACATTGGAAAACGGAAAGTTACTCGTCATACTCCCCTCATAGCTAGCATGTTACCCCCAATCGAACCACCAGCCACAAACTCGCCTTTGCCCACTGGCCACTATGTAGAGCCACTGGGTCGCGCAACAAGCTCAACATGTTTCTAGCATCTTCATTTGCCAAAAACAGTCTTGGCCTTTTGCATCGAAGAGTTTGCCCACAAGGGCTGCTGGAAGATCAAGCAGCACATTTACTAGAAAAGCATGGAATTCAGCGTTAGTAGAAGGATATTATTAGAGCATCGACTTCGCTGTTGGAATACCCAGTACACACAAAACATACCGTGGGCCACTCGAGCTTCTTGAGGGGATCTTGATGGCGACAATCCTGGCATATACAGAGTGGCTGTGCTTATGTCCCACCAAATATGGCTTTTGCTTGTAAGAAATGCCTTGCCTGCCATGCCTGGTGAGCCCATTGACAGTCAAATTACTATGGAGATGTTAGGGTGTAGGCAGCCCCCAACAAAGCTTGCCATCCACACGGCTGTATCGTGCAGAAGTCGCAGAAATTCTCGAAGCCATTGACCTCGAAACCCCATCAGTCCCAATTCCCAAGTTTCCAACGTGAGGTTATGCCTGAACATCCGAGCCTGCAAGACGTGGTCGTGGCCATCAAGATGGAGCGTGAGGCAAGGAATCGATTCTTGTTTTTTGGTTGTGGTTGTTCTTCTGCTTCTTCTTTGTCTCCTTGGGCTTTGGGGCTGAGGGCTTCAGATCGCATTCTTCTTGAAGGTTTAGGGTTACTCACGATGCTAGTCTTCTGTCGTCCCTCATGCTAACCTACACTTCACCCTATTCTCCAGGGGTGAGTACACCATCCTAGACACCCAAGCCCCCGAAACTTTGAGCCCTGAGCCCTAACAAAGCTCAGAGCCCCCTGCCCCTTTCTCCAGCAAACACCCAAACCTCCCCCAAAAGAACTCGCACAGAACCCTCCTAGAACCCTCGAAAAGCCAGAAGCATCTACGGCCTGTGTCCAGAGAGCCCAAGACCCCTCATTTAAGAACATGTATTTTAAATTATAGGGACCTGAATGTTATGGAATTATTATGGCTTAAGGCCCTATACCCTAAACCCTATACCCTAAAAACCTTAAAACCCTAAACCCTAAACCCTAAACCCTAAACCCTAAACCCCTAAACCCTTCCCTTGATTCAGAAGTCGTGGGCTCTCTGGGTGTGTCCAGGCCCGGGAGGCTGCGATGGCCGACCAACAGAAGTGACCTGGCCGACTTGGAGGTTCATGGGTGGTTATAAGTAGGGTAGCTAAGGGTTTAGGGTTTCGGGTTTAGGCTTTTAGGGTTTGGGAGATTAGGGTTTTAGGGTTTAGGGGAATAGGTGGGGTTATAAGTAGGGTAACTATAGTTATAACCCATATTAGGGGGATGTATAACCCTACTTATAACTACCCACGAACCTCCAAGGAGCTCTTTCCTGGGCTTGGAGTTCGGGTTCGCCTTTCAACAGGGTTCAGGGTTCAGGGTTTAAGGTTTAGGGTTTAGGGGTTTCGGGCCCTAAACCTTAAACCCTAGAGGGTTTAGGCTTCAGTTCCTGCGGTTATTTGCACGGTTTCGGCTGGGGCTCGGGCAAAAAGGGGTGTAGATTGTCACAGGAGCTCAAGATCGCGAGGGGACCACTGAGTTTGGGGGTGTAACTTGGTGCTTTCCAGCCAGGGGTGCGGAGCTCCACTTCGTGGATGCCCGTCACCCTCAGAAAAAAGGGGCCTTCCTAGGGTTTAGAGGTTTAGGGATTTAGGGGTCTAGGGGTTTAGGGACAAATTTTTTGCCAATACTAATTTTGGGGGGTTCCTTATTGTAACTATAGTATAATGGGCCCCAAAACCCTATTCTAATGATTAAGGGTCCTACATTAGCCGTAAACCGAAAACCCATACTCAGGGATCTGCCCGCGAAGCCCAGGCATTTGGACTGGCGCTTCGTGCACTTCGCGGAGGCGCGGAGTTTGCTAGCAGTCTCCTGATGTGTATTATATATATATACACATACAGGTACATATATACATATATATATATATATATATACATCTAGAGCCGGACAGTTGAATCCGAAGTTCCAAATCGTGGGTTTAGAGCTGCCCAGGTTTCGGGGTGCACGGTTTGGGTTGGAACTACCTTCTCCGGTTCAACCGTTTAGGGATCAGCAGATACACGCCTGAATCCATATCTTTGTGCGTCTATCTCCTTTTTCTCTCTCGCTCTGCTTCTCTCCTCCAGTGACGTGACCTTAGTGTCTGTAAGCGTAAGCGTCCCCACGCCCAAACCTCCTGAATCCCAAGTTCAGGAGTTTAACCTTCGCTTGGAGCAGATGGAGCAAAAGATGGATGAAAGTCTCGAGGATGGTTGGAGCACTTGGCTGTTCGGGTTTACTGTAGGTGCAGGATTTAGGGTTTAGGATTCAGGTAGGATTTTGCGGTTTAGAGGTTTGGGGTTTAAGAGGTTTTTGGTTTAGGCTTAGGAATTTAGGCACCATGCAGTCTCTTAGGTTAAAGGTGAAGTGGTCTTGGTCAGAGTTCCTGGCTGCGACTCTTGTTTCCGCCTTCAAAAATGGGGCTCCCGCCGCAGTGCGGTGCTTGCCTGTGTGACCCTAAACCCAAAACCCGAAACCCTAAACCCAACCCCTAAACCCAAGCCCCTAAACCGTAAGCCCTAAACCCGAAACCCTAAACACGAAACCCTAAACCCTAAGCCCTCAGCCCTAAACCCAAGGCCACACTCTTAGTCTCTTTGGGGTTTGTTCAATGAACTCCCAATACCGTCGCCAAGCGGGGAGACCGATTTTGACGGTGCTGCCTTGCATCCTGCCTCCAGCTTCCTCTAGCTACATGGTCCTCTGGTGGTGCTGCTGGTGGCACTGCCTTCTCCCTGTCTCTGAATCTGGAGGGTATAGAACTACTAATATAAAACCTAAATAGAAGCAGCCCCGATATAAGGAGCAATAAAGGGCTATTGAGAGACCCTTCGAGGATTTTACCTAGCATTTCGCCGCGGTTTCTTTCCTTTGTCAGGCTTCAGCTCCCCTAATTTTGAAGATTCCCCGAAGGCTTTGAGACGCCCCCAGCAGTACACCCTTGCAATTAGATGATTATACCCCCTGCTTAAACCCAAACCCTAAACCCTACACCCCAAACCCTAAACCCTAAACCACCGCTAAACCCTAAACCCTATGTAACCCTAAACCCTAAAGCGAACCCCTCAACTCTACACCTCGAAGCGACCTCAAACCGCAGGCCCGAACCCCGGGGACTCTGTCGCCACTTGGAGGTTCATGAAAAGGGTTCTATCAAGTTATAGGGGTTTAGGGTTTAGGGTTCAGGGTTCAGGGTTTAGGGTTTAGGGCTTAGGGTTCAGGGTTTAGGGCTTAGGTTTCATGGTTTAGGGGTCAGGGGTAGCTATAAGTGAGGTTGTAAGTAGCGTAACTATTGTTCTAACCCATATTAGGGGATTTGAAACCCCACTTCTAACTACCCATGAACTGCAAGCAGGACCAATTTCTTGAGCGGACTTCGAACAACGAGGCATCCCATCGACGTTTGAAGTCAGTTTGATGGTACGGCCTTGAGGTTTGTTTTTGTGTTGGCTTGTGGCTTCTGGTTCAGGCGCTTAGGGTTTGCCCGGTGTGTGACTGGGGTTTTGAGTTTTGGTGTTTACGGTTGGGAGAGGGTTTCGGGTTCAGGGTTTATGGAGATGAACCATCAAGAACCCGCTGCAGGGGTATCTTAGCCAGGTTCCTCTTGCCGATGCGCTGGAAAGCACAACGAACTCAAATCCTGCGGTTGGGGCTGCCCCAAACCCTAAACCCACTTTAGGGGTCGGCGCCTCTGCATTCAGTTCTGGCCTAAGACTATCTAGGCGAGTTCTCGAGGCTAGCGGCAGCCCTTCAACTCCCAAATCCTTGAGGGAGGCTTAAGGGGTTTCATATAGGAGCCTAAAGAATTACCTAGACTATTTTGGGTGTTCCTGAGTATATTTATACGATAAAGGATCCCAAAACCCTATTCTAATTATTAAGGCCCCTATGTTGGGGCTGCGGGTGCAGGGATGGTAGCTTGCTGCCAAGCAGGGATGTAGAGAGCCGCAGAACACAGAGGCTAAAGGTACTTGTAATGTAGGGGCCTTAATAGTTCGAGTAGGGTTTTGGGGTTCCTTTATTCCCCTAATTATAGTATAGTATACCCCCAAACCTATTCTAATTATGACGGCCCTTATACTAGGGAAAAGGCTCCCAATCACTTAGAGGTCCTGCCGCGGGCCTGGCCAGGGCTAGCAGGCTTTAAATGCATGGCGTAGGCTTTCACACTTGGGGTTTAGGGGTTAAGGCCCGGTGAAGAAAGCATTCCCCTAAACCCAAAACCGCTTCTACTAAACCCTATAAACCCTAAGCCCAAAACCCTAAACCCGAAGCACTAAACCCTCGAAATGCAGCTGGTGCCCCAGGCCTTCGACAGCCGGCGGCGGCACCTGCAAGAGGGGTCGACGGGCTGCATGGAAGCCTTTGGGTGAGTTGTCCCTAAACCCTAATCTCTAAACCCTATACCCTTTATCCTAGCCCTAGACTCTTTTGGTGTTCGGGTGTAACATAGAAGTCTGAAGAGCGCCGATACAATGCTTCAGAGTTCTCAAATGCAATGCAACCGGAAGTCCTTTTCCTTTTATTAAGATCCTTTATATTATTGTATTGGGGCTTTGCAGTTCTGGCAAAGGGAATTCTGTGATCTGGCCCATAGTTTAAAATGGCAGTAATATATGGTGATGTACTGCCGCAATAAACACCATAGAGGTACGAACCGCCAAGACCCTACACCCTAAACCCTAAACGCAACAGGTTTGAAAAGGTGAATGAGCCAATATAGAACTGGCCTCTAAGCCTCTAGCCATTACATTAGGCTCCGGGGAGGCTGTAGGGCTTAGGGGTTCGGGGTTAGGGTTTAGGGGTTTAGGGTTTAGGGTTTAGGGTTTAGGGTTTAGGGTTTAGGGTTTAGGGGTTTAGGGACAGGATCGTTAATCAACCCCGGAACCCTAAACTTAAACCCTCAACCTGTCAATGAACCGCGAACGTCTACTGTAGATCTAGCCACATAAACTCTTGCTACTGCAGCTGCGAGGAAGATGGCTCTGCTGGAAGCGCGCGTGGCGGAGGCGCTGGGCGAGGGAGTGAGGAAGTGAGGCTGGTCCCCTGAAGGTAAGGTCCGTGTTCAGGGCGAAGGGTGTGAAACTTAGTCCTAAACCCTAAACCCTAAACCCTAAACCCTAAACCCTAAACCCTTAGATGCTATCCTTGACGACTTCCAATCCTACTAGTACCCTCCCGGACTTGCAGAGAGGTTCGCAACAGCAGTTGTTTTGAAAGCCCTTACTGTTGATGGACAAAATCTTGCATGACCCTATATACCTACACTATGGGATTTATGGTACTATACTATATTTGGGTCATGCAGAATTTTGTCCATCAGCAGTATTAAACCTCAAACCCCACACCCTAAACCCTCAAAGCCCTAAACCCCAAATCCCAAACCCAATGCCCTAAACACTAAAAGCCACAAGCCCGACACCCTAAACCCTAAACTCTAAACCCCAAACCATAAACCCTCAACCCTAAACCCTAAACCCTAGACCCCAAACCCTAAACCCTAAACCCTAAACCCCAAACCCTAAACCCCAAAGCCTTTCTAAAACTCAAAGCCCCGGGCATCCTGCTGACCTCCAGGTGCAGCGCTCCAGCTCGTCTTTGGAGGCTTTTGGGTCGAGTCTTTTTAGGGTTAAGGGGTTTAGGGTTTAGGGTTTAGGGTTTGGGTTGCAGAACTTTGGGTCCAGGGTTTAGGGTTTTAGGGGTTTACGGGTTAGGGGTTTAGGGCTTAGGGTTTTAGGCTTCAATATGGGGGCCTAAGAATTACCTAGACTGTCTTTAGGGATGTATTATAATGTAACCCAAAGCCCTATTCTAATTATAAAGGCCCCTATATTATAGTAGTACATTGTAGTTTCCGGATTCTGGATTGTGTCATAGCATATTAGAGTATGTTAGAGTGCAGTAGGGTGTATTGAGGCATATTAGAATGCATTAGAGTAGATTGGACTATATTAGAGTATATTCTAGTATATTAGAGTAAATTTGAGTATACTAGAGTATACGATGGTTTTCTTCAGTATTGTGTTCGTTTATTTCCTAGTATGGTATGAGTTAGACACAATGTATTCGTACTTAGAGTATATTCTAGCAAGCTTTCTGTATACTCTAGTATATTGTGGTATACAATATTACATCGGAGCGTATTAGAGTATAAGGGTCGGTATTTCAAATTTTGCAGAGAGCCTCAAACAATTAGAGTAGGGTTTTGGGGTGGAGCGGACTGAACGTGTGGGCGAGTAGAGAGAAGCAGACCTTCAAGTTTGTGTATAACACGACCAAGTGAGTTTGATTCAGAGCAGCTACAGCTAGGAATCTAGGCGACACAGAAGGGTTTTACGGTTGTAGAGTTTTCTCTGGCATCCTAGGCTGCTGTCTTTTCAAGGCTTTGGCATCGCTCTGGGTGGAACAGTTGGTAGGACCTTGGATTGAGGGTGCGCTTGTGAGGGAACAACAACGAAAAAGGGGAACAGAGTACTACGGTTGATGATATAAATCCTGCATCACCCATAACAACAAGGAATATACCGTCATTCCCAGAGTTTAGGGTCCTTCACGAAATCCAGGATTTATATCATCAGCCGTAATCAAGGGTTTAGGGTTTAGGGTTGAGGACTGAGAAAACGAGGAGCCCTAAACCCTAAACCCTAAACCCTAAACCCTAAACCCTAAACCCTAAACCCTAAACCCTAAACCCTAAACCCTAAACCCCAAACCCGAAGCCCTCAACCCGAAACCCTATCCTCGAAGCCCTAAACTTTAGGGCCTGTGGGGTTTAGGGTTGAGGGTTAGGGGTTTAGGGGTTAGGGGTTTAGGGTTTAGGGTACCCCAAACCCTAAACCCTAAACCCTAAACCCTAAAACGTTCCAAAACCCTAAACCCTAA